GGGGTAGAGCAGGGGGACTGGAGAAATCTCCGCAGCACATCTGGGAATGTGGAGCTGGAATGGGTCTTCTGGACCCAGCAGTGGGGGGGAGGGGGAGGGGGGTTGTCGGCTCCTGTGGCTGGACTTAGCCTCATGGGTGTTTATACGACCCCCCCAGGTGAGTGGATGTGGTGTCGAGCGACAGGATTGTCGTCATTGTGCTGGAAAGAGCAGGACATGGACGCCGTAATCCTGTAAGCAGTCATTCTTAGGACTGTCCACCTCGCAGAAACACACGACGTCTCCCACTCCCATTCAGTCAGTCCCGTGAGCAGATGGGGAGGGGGGGGAATCAGCGATCAATCAGCTCCTGCTTAATTAGCATCCTGCAGAAAACCCTCCCCCGAGACAGACGGGGCCTGTTCAGAAAGTGTAAGCACATGTGTCAGGGCCACCCCACCCCCCCGCAACAATGGGCACGGTGTTCCGCTGGATGCCGGGAGCCCCATCGCATCAGACACCCAATCAGAATGCGGCCGTAAGGACCTGCACCTCTCCCCCAGGTCCAGGCAGAAGCACAGCCTCAGTTCGACGTCTCGCAGGCGATTCTCCAAGGGCTGGAGATAACCACATGGAACACTAATTCGCAGTTGCTGCTGCTTCTTCATGATGTTTGCTTCCTCTTTTGTCCTTCAATTTAAATTTTTTTTAAACCATGTTTAAAAGTCATAGGAATGGTCACCCCCATTTTCCCCACCCTGCACGATATAAAGCAATGTTAGTAAACTGATGTAAATTGGGATGACTCTCATGATCATAAGTCATGCTGCCCTCAGTAAAATATACATTTAAATTTTTCTCCTTTCTTTCTAAAGAATATATTTTGATTTTTTTGCAACAGTAGTAGAATTCCATCCATTTTTTGTGACCTTTTATCCTATTCAGGGTTGTGGGGGGTCCGGAGCCTATCCCAGAGGCAAGGGACGCAGGGCAGGGAACAACCCAGGAGGGGGCACCCACCCATCGCAGGGCACACTCACACATATACACCTACGGGCAATTTGGTAGCTCCAATTAATCTCAGCATGTTTTTGGACTATGGGGGGGAAACAGAAGTACCCAGAGGAAACCACATGACAGCACAGGGAGAACATGAGAACATGAGAACATGCAAACACCACACACATGCAATCCAGGAGGAGACTCAAACCCAGATCCTAGAGGTACCACCTCAGTAGTAGTATTGACACTACTACTACCCCTCCTTTATTTTTTTATTACTTTGTTCATCCATCAATCCATCCATCCATCCATCCATCCATCCATCCATCTATTTAATTGATTGGTTATTGTTTTGTTTATTTATTATTATTTTTAATTTAATTTTTATTTTTAAATTCAGTCTGGGTGGGATACGGTGTTAGTGTTCTGTTTTCCTTTGTTTAAAAAGAAAAGTAAAACATGTATCTTTGTTTTTTAAGAACTGCTTTTCAGTGAAAAGAGGTTTTTAAAAAAAAAACAACCAACAGGAGACTGCACATGCAAACTAGGGCACTGTGGGGTTGTTTATAAAGTAAATGTGCTTTTTATTGGGGGCCTCGGTTTACAAAATGCTAATAGTAGTGTATGGGATTATGGGACTGCAGGGAAACAAACAATAAAGCTGAAGATTTTGTTTGATGCCCTGAATAAAGCAAAAGCTTAAGAAGGTAACATGCTGTGATACATCAGAGGAGACCTCAGCCCATATGAATATTTGTGCTGACTAAAGAGAGTTATTTCCAGATGTTTCCACAGGAAGGGTGCTGTGCGTGTGTGGATGTGTTCCTGGTGGCAGCAAAGGCTTGTGGGAGTTTCTCACCCCCTCTGTGAACCAGAGGAACTAACTCCTCACTGGCAGCAGTGCTGGCAGCCTGGGGTTTGATTCCCAGGGCATCGAGCTTGTATGGGCGAGCTGCCCTGTCAATCAAATACACCAACCAATCATTTTTGAATTTAAGGTTCCCTTTTATCCTTAAGCTGAAATATAAAGTTAGAGTAGCAGATAACAGACAAATGAATAATAATATTGTCATTTGGGATAACAACCCTAAAATTACTTTATTAAACTTTCAGCTTAAGTATATATTGTAATAACATTATAATGATGAATATTTTACAATATAGGCAGTCCCCAGGTAACAAATGCAATCCCTTCTTCGGAAAGTCGGAAAAATAACAATACATTGCATAATAATGATAATTATACAATAATAATAAAAGTAGCTACATACAGCACTGTACTGTACCTCAAGCCGACGAACGGCTAAAGCTGCAAATGTTTTCATGAGCGTCACAGTGCAGTGCGTGCGTTTGTTAGTATGAGCCGTTGTACTTAACTCTAATTTTTAATATAATAGGCTTTATGGTGGTACGTAAGTGCGAGTTGTCTGTAAATCGGACCTTCTTAACCCGCGGTCTGCATAACGTAAATCTACAAAAGTCCACGGAATAATAATTCACAGGATGACATGCTGCCGCCAGTGGGCCAGTGAGCCAGTGGCGGCGAGCACTGACCTTTGGCTAACACTGGCAGTTCTGAACAATGAGGTTTCACAACCCGATTTCCAGAGCACCTTCAGTATCAGCAGATGTCACTTCAAAGATGCCAGACTGATGTTCCAGTTTCAAAAGTTTATGAGACATTGGGGTGTGGGGGGGAGTTGAAGGCCTCCTCTGGGAAGGCCCCCTCCCCCGTTCTACCCCGCCGAGGCCCGTGTCACTCTGTTTTAGAGGCTGAAGCCAAAAGGTGACACCACTGCTTCAGAAGTGTTCAGTTCTGCTGCGGTTGCAGCTGGCGGGAGACGAGGTGGCGCCCCCTAGCTGACAGGAGGGGAAGGCTGTCGCCGTGAGGCCTTGAACTGGACTGTGCCGTCACACGTCCTGCTGGATCCGTGGCAGCATCAGGCTTCGTAGCGGGCAGAAGCACGATCAAAATGTCCTTTGAGTCTTCATGTTATGACTTTCCATAGTGTCTAATCCGCAGAAGTAAAAATCTAATGATTGCGGTACGTAACACGATAAGGAATTGTATGGACCAAGAAGCCTCCCAACAGCGTCCTGCGGCATTTAGGAGCTGAGGCGCCCATCACCTGGGAAACAGACAACCAGGAAGAACGTCCTGAAAAGGTCTTTCTCAATACCTTTAGCTGTAACAGGTTAAGAAATCAGGGCCCGTATTCACAAAGCATTTTATCTTACCACTAAGAGTACTCCTAAATCGCACTAAAAGTTTTTAACTAGTTTTTTTTTTCCTAAAACCTATTCACAAAGTGGCTGAGAGCAACTTTTAGTTAGGAAAAGAGCCAACTCCTAAGATAAAAGTGAGACTGTCGCTTTGGCTGACGACAGTTCTCGTGCACAAGCTTGTCTGCAATAACCACAAGGATTGGTAAATGAGAGGCCAGTATGTGCTGGTGAAAATGTACGAGCTACATCCAATAAACAGTGGAAAAAGCTTATAGTGATCAACCGCTTATATGGATCAAAAAGCTTGGGACAGAATCATTCCTGTACAAATACTGTTTAAATAATTCGCTTATAGTAATCAAGCAGTCCGCATATAGCGTTCACTTTGGGTCTATTTATAAATGACACTATACGAAAAAAAATAAAACTACACATTCTTTTTTTCTTTTTTTACAGTAGCACTTTACAATAAGGCTCCCTTTTGTCACTTGTAAATAGTAGTAACTCATTAATAAAAATAAAACATTGTTATAACTTGTTCAAAATTGTCTATTAATAATCTACAAAGTGTTACAACCCAACTAATAACCAGATTAAACCCTTCATATGAGTAGCCTTATTGTAAAGTGGTACCATTTTTACTACTTTACTTTGATCGCCCTACTTTGCCTTGCGGTGACCTGTCTGCTTCTGGCTAGCGACCTGAGGCTAATGCTGCGCGCACAGAAATCAGGACGGGAAAATCATTTTCTCTCCATTACGAATGTAGACTCATCAAAGTTAATGATAAACCACCAAAAACGAGCCAGCGAGACGCAGCAGCCAAACTACAATAAGCTATATTTTATGTACAGTACTGTACTGTATTATAGCGTATTTGAATTATATACAGTTCAGTAATTAAATTTGTACAGTGCATTTGAAACAGCTGTGCTGCATTTCGAACCAATTTCAATTATATTATACGGGGGTCCGACTGTGTATGACTGGGTTGCTTCGGTTTGTTGGTAATGGTACACAAGCCCTACAACCATCAGAATTCCCTCCCGACTGAAGCGGTATCCTTTAAGTAATTCAGCATTGGTTTAATGTTTCCATGACATTGCAACATGTACTGACAGCAGCCATTTTGCAACTGTTTGCGAATCGGTCTTAGTGACTTAGGAATCCTCTCGATTTTCTTTTAGTTCTCCCAGACTTAGGAGCTACTTTTAGCCTTAAGATGATTGGCGAATACGGACCCAGGATGGCAAAGCTTCTGAGCTCCAGTGCAGAGTTTTGCAGAAATCAGCGGCATAAACAAACATGCATAGGTTCATTTGGGTGTGACGCAGACGGCAGAACTCACAGGCCCAACAGAAAGGATATGACTAAAAACGGCCTCAAACCACACGAGGTCCATTAATGGCAACTGTCTTAAAACAGTTTGTCACAAACCAGGAGGATGGAGGTTCAGTTGAATGTATTATGCAAAAAAAAAAAAAAAACACTAACGCTGGTTTCCTGTTTCACTGCCTCTTCCTCTTTCTGTTAGTGACGTATCCACAGCATGAGCCAGTCGCGCTGGTCCAAGACACAAAGGCAAGAAACAGCCTCCCTTTATCCAAAACAACTTACAGTTTATTCAGGTATTTCATTAACACTGGGCAACCTTGCTCCATATCTTTATGCACTACGCTCCCTGCTGGCCCTTGGAAGCATAGGTCCACGGGTTCCTAGAACACAGTATGAGCTTAGGCAGTCCTCTCGTTTTCCGGGAGAAAGCTGTGGAGCGTAAGGTCATCCCCCTCGCTCTCATCTACACTGGGGATCAGGGCACCATTGGATTTTGGGTAGCGAAGTTTGGCATGAGCGACGTCACCGTCAGGTAGTAGGCTAGAGATGCACATCATCTCGGTGCCCTGATTCATGCTCATCCTGTACCGGTGTTTTTGGGCGGAGAGCTTGGTGCACAGGAAGATGGTGCAGACCATGAAGAAGGTAGCCACTGCAGCCAGGGAGGCTATGGCGATTAAGCATTGGCTCACCAACCCATCCTTACGGGAAAGGCAGTTGCTGCCCCCTGACGCATTGTTCCCCTCATGGTGTATCGTAGAGGACCTGGTCGTTGCTGACGCAGTGGTCAAGGGCTTCTTGGGGACCACGGCTCCCATGGAGGAGTTTGTAGAGTCAGTGGGCTTGGACGTGGAAATGACAGAGGCTTGGGTAGAGTCAGATGATCCTTTGCGTTTGTGAAGAGAAGCAGCTGTTGAGTTGGATGTAACAGAGGTGGAGGCTGAGAGCCCCGTGCTGGACTGAGATGCTGAATGGGTCGTGTCAGACAGTGGCGGGGTTGAGTGAGGAGATGCAGCGATGGAGCTAGATATAGAATGGATTAAGTTTAACAGTGTGGGGGTGGAACCAGGCAGTCCGGAGGTGGAGTTAGACATAGAATGAGTTGAGAGTGTGGGGGTGGAGTGAGAATAGGTTATGTTAGACGGTGCATGGGTGGAGGTGTTGTTCACTGAAGAACTCGAGGCAAGAGCAGCCTTTGAAGTCAACGCCAAGAGAAGCTGGTGGTTGGTGGCTGACTGAAAGTCATTTGCAGGTTGACTAGTTGTTCCTCCCTGATCGGTTACTTCGATTTTGATTGGCTCCTGGGTTCCACCTATCAGAGGCAATATAGAGGCCGCTTCTGTTTCATGGAGTATAGGTGCCATCGTGGATCCGCCCACCGCCAATGCACCTATACTGGATGCTTCCTGCATACCACTCAAGGTGGTTGGGGCTTGCATGTCTGGTGACAGGGTCCCATTGGCCTCTTGCAGCAAGGCTTGAGGGAACATCACCGCAGCCCACAGCATGAGAGAGAAGGCCCAAGGAGCCATGGCAGCGATTCTGGAAGCACAAGGAGTCAAACATCGATTACCAACCTGCTAGAAGCAGTAAAATTCAATTATACTTTAAGAAACTATGAATACATATAACCTGTGATTTATGTCAATGGTGTGTGTGAAAATATGCTCTATAAGCTGAATATTCCATATCGCCGCATCTGCCTTATGATAAAATGCATTAGCAGCTGCTGCATCTATTATTTTTCATTTCCTAGTTTAATAAATCATCTTGTGGTTTTGCTGGTTGCCCGGAGAAGAACTTGAGAACCCATCTAACTGACGATATACATACACACTGCTCTGTATCAGCGAAATCAAACCCATGTCACTATACAGAGTGGCAATAAGACCATATGTTTCTCGGCCGTTTTTTCCAGTAAAAATGCTCACTATTCTTTGTGGAATTACCACACCACATGTGGTACTTCTTTTTTCGGCGTATTGTTATTTTTTTGGCACGTCTTCTGCATTTGTCCTGGGGGCAGTGCTTGCATGTAGAGCACCCTATGCTTGTGTGATGGCACCTTTGCCCCCCCCCCCCCGTGATCATTGTGCTGTAAACACACAGATCCCCGGAGGACGTCTGAAACCTCACAGCGTACAATATAAAAAAAAAAAAAAAAAAAAAATCCAGTCAAAAATCAGTGTCTGTAAAAGGACTAATTAATTGCAGACACTCCGCTTGCTCAGAAACCAGTATCATCACAGGAATGGCAGTACATCAGAAGCAGCACCAAACCAAAAAGAATTGTATGGCGATTGTGTAAAGTAAAAACAGAATATTAAGCTTTTCTCAAGAAGAAAGTAAAAAACAACTTGTTACAGTGCTGACCCGGGTTAACTCACACACACACCACGAGGACCTTGGGGTTCATTCTTAGGATATACTTATTTTTCTAGCAAATGTACATTTATACCGATGAAAGACATACAGATTTACGCACTTGCTTAGTCTCTTCCTTCCTCACAATCGCTAAAATAATATACAACAGATTTTCAGCATATATCACGAGCTAAGTGGTTTCCCTTATAGTTTCATAAGGTTTTCATACGGTCATCTGTCTGTACGTCTTCCACCTGTTTATTGTAGTCAGGGTAAACAAGGCTACTCTGCTTTTAGCGATTTTATACTTAGCTAACAAATAAATAGTTATGTCCTCCAATCATAACAATAATTAATAAGAAGCACCTCAAATGTGGGAGAATTAATTCGACAGGAAAGTTGATAGCTTTACATTCAAATGAAACGCGTACTGCACTGAAAATGTTTTAAAAAGACAAAACGCCATAAATATAAAACCAGACGAAATTGTGCAGCACATTCTTGTTGAACAAATTTCAAACAATTCAGCAAAAATGAGCAGCTGCTGGTTTCCATCTGAGAAGCATTGAGTCTTCAGATGATGGCGACTTTGTGGGCCAAGGCGTTCCTACCTCACTCCAGACAGAGAAGATGGGAAGTCCTATTCCACCAGCTGAGGATTTGAGATGTGGTCCGGTGCACGGTGCCTCCTACGGGTTGGCGATGTGGCCCGGAGCGAGTGTGTACCTGATGCGATGTGACAGGAAACGTGCCGAGCTGAGGTTTTTTGCAAAACACTGACGCAACCGCGTGGCTGACGAAGGAGAAGTGTGACATGGAGGAAGAGGCCGGTTTCCACACAGCAGCCCCAGTGGAGAACGGCTCCCTCTCCGAGTAGCTGAGGGCCCGATCAGAGGGCGGTAACAGGCACAGAACGCTACCGTGTAACGTACAGGGATTGCATGGAAGCACTGAAAGACCAATGACCAAAAGAGACGTATGTCTTATGACCTTGAAGGAGGACCTACTAGACACCTCCCATAGCTCTCCTGTTCTTGGTGCATGCTGGTCCCAGCCCTGCCCCTTAATCCATACTCACTGTATTTTTCTATTGTCTCCCCTCCGAATTGCTCCTTACCTTCTCACAGCAAAACAGCCCCCCGCCCCCCCCACCCCACCCCCATCCCCCCCGACATTATAAGGCACTTTATCTCTAGCTGGTTTCCTTTCCATTGACGTGTTAGTGGTTGGTCATGAGGTATCAATCTCGCTCAGCTTTGTTCATGCAGATCCTCCTCCTCACCCTTTGCCTTGGCCAGTGCGAGATTCTTCCATCGGGGTTTAAGAAGAGCGGCATCAAAAGTCAACATAAAGGCTGATCTGACAGAAGTAAAAAAAAAATAAATAAATCCAAGTTTAATTAGCCAGAGAACAACAAACACTCCAGGCACTTTATTACATTATATAAAGGCATGCAAACCTTATGCAGCCAGATTTCGTTGATGTTCACACCTTTCAGAATGCCTTTCCCAGTCCCATTTCTGGCTAGCAGACTTCTGAGAATGGAGAACTTTCCAGTTTTGTATGGAGCTGATTTACCAGCAGCTTTCTGAGCCACCTACGCTCTCTAGTTACTACACAACAGTGGCAAGTAGGAGAACTTTGCATCTCTCAGTTTTTAGTCATTTCACAGGAATCACCAAAGCTTGTGCTTCTCGTCATGCTTTTCCAAGATAACTCATGCTGATTTAGTACAGTCCTCAGTCCGATAAACATGACAACTAGCAGTCATGCTATATATACACCAATTTTGAGGTGACTGTTTTGAGCGACCCTCCCCTCGGTCTTCGAGATGCATTAACTCAAAATAACGTAATGGAATTTTGATGTATATTAGAAGCCGTTACCATAGAAACTACCACAACCTTCTCTCAACTGCCCACACCCCCACCAACTTCCTGTCATCTTTGCAACTTGGTGACAGACATAGAAGTTTACAGCAGCAAACTTAAACATCCCATAAGCGAAACAGGAAGCTTTTTTTTTTTTTTTTTTTTAAATAGACTTCAAAATTAAGCAACTACGGCTTTTCACAAAATATTGGCCCAACCCTAAACCTCCAGGAACAAATTTAACCAGACAAAACAAAGGACAGACAACCGTGCATTTTGATTGCTTCAACCCAATTTTTATTTGATTTAAAAATGAATGAGAGTCTCTCTCAGTGGGGACAGGATGAGTGACCAGGACGTGGAGATGCTGGTGTTGTGTAGATCACCACCAGAGAATCTGACCATTTATCACTCTGCTGTTCTGTAAATCCTGGATCTCACCAGGTTGCCGAGATGTGCCAGAAACCATGGTGAGGACCCCCACAGTGCAGCCAAACGAAAATCGCACTAACGGCCCCCTCCACAACCAAACAGGCCAGACCATCATCACTTGCATGAGATTGAAGGTCTAATCTAAAGATCACCAAAAACATGTGTTCTTCACGGGACCCCTTTGTCTCTCATCTGCAGTTTCAGGCCCCAAACAGAGCCGATGCGGGAAGGAGGCACCGCAGCCAACGCAGAGGACCTTCCGCTAACCAACATTCGGTTTCCCTTCCAAAATATCACAATTAAAAATGACATCTTTACTCAGTCTCTCAAGTTCCCCTCGGCAACAAGTCAGGGGAGACTTCCTCACCAAAACCACACCGTCGGTCACGACCTGAGTCAGGGGGCGATCGGTTACAACGGCCCTGAAGGTCGACACAAAAAATTCAAGCGAACAGCACGCGTCTCATGGCTCGTCTCAGAGCAGTGTTGCTGAGGACGAGGCGCAGGACAGGAAACAGGTTGTGCTAGTTTGGCAAAAAAAATAAAAAATATGGGTGGGAAAAAGACGAAGACGCCTCACCACAACCAACCGCTGCTGTCAACACAAACTGAACCGCGGCAAAGCTAGAGCATTCATGTTAAAAACACAGGGAACAGAGGGGTAAATGACTTCCCTGGAATGGAAAAACTGCAAGAAAAATAAATATTAACCTGGTGGTACGAGGGGGGGCAAGCTACAATTCACTTGCAGCCCCCCCCCCCCCAACACTTTGTGGGGCCAAATCTGGCTGTCCCTTAATTTGGACCAATCAAAAGATCAGATCAATGTAATAATGTAGTATTATGCACCCTTACATTTATTCCACAGACCCATAGGAAATTCTCAATGAGTAAATTTCGTGATGGTTAAAGTCTTCATGTGTGGAGTCAGTGACAGTTTTGGCCAGATATTGAAAAACTCCAGGAACTATAAGGGTGGCAAAAGCCCAACAAGAAATTGACTGAAGAGAGTAAAATCAATGTTTTACCCTATATTTAAAAAAAAAAAAACAAACAAAACAAAAAAAAAAAAACAACAAAATAAGTCCCAGTTCACCTTTTCAGGGACCCTGCTTGTCACCCTGAGAGTTTCGATTCCCGTATTGACCTGTGGAGCCCAGAGCAGGGAGTGTGAAGGTACCCACTCTGCTCTTGCCCACCCTGCGTGAATTTGTGGAAAATCACCAAGCCATTTGTCTTGGTATATCTGACACACGCTAAAAGCCATGATGCTCACTGGATGCTGTTGCTAAACCTGTGAGGAAAATCGCAGCCAAGACATAGTAAAGAGGGACTAGGGGCAAGAGGACAGGTTAGCAGAGCACGTTAGTAGTAGAATTTTGAACAGATTTATTATGGAGAACACTTCGTTTTTCCACGAGTAAAATCTTTATTGCATGCACAGATGGTGGCCGGAGGCTGTTTACTAGATGCACGTGCTCACAGAAGTCCCCCGAGAAAACGTCATCGCCCTGGCAACAGATCTGCGCACCTCCCTGCTGCCGACAACACCTCAGAGCCGTCGAGGTGGGGGGGGGGGGGGGGGGGGGGTGGCGCGGATAGGCTTACGGCAAAACTGTTACAGACAGGCCATCCATTTTAACGGTGCCTCCATAGCATACAGTTAAAATCGAAGAAATGGACAAGGAAAAAGAAAATTACTTTCCAACAGAACATTGTTCCCCCCAGTAAGCTGAGTAAAAAAAACTAATATTTCCCCATTGTGAGCTTTATAGTAGGAAATCCATAGATGTACTCTATACCATTCCGTTGCATTGTCCCTTATAGAACACATGGAATGCAGGAAAAAAGCCAACAAAATACTGTAAGGGAGCAATGTAAACAAAACATTCAAATTTGGCAACGTTAAGGGAAAATGCAATACTGATAGCTGTATTTTGCATGTATATAACATCTGAGTATACCACAGTAAGTACAAATTGTTCACGTCAGAATGTTCTTGGTCACAATTAAAAAAAATAATAAAGTAAGACCATGGAAAAAAAAAAAAATTGCCAGTTATTAAAACAGATGTTTTGACCCCACCCCCAATTAAAAGGTAGACAATAGACTGCAAGTTTGTTTTACTCTCCACGCCCCTGTTTTTTGGAGAGGGAGGGGGGAAGGTTTAAGGTAAGGAAAAGTCCATATTGGAATGTTGCCTGGATCCCGGCCGGGTAGGCTTCAGGCCGAATGCTGTCGTCATGACTGGCAGTGACAGGCCCCGCCCACCCTGCCATTCCCAGCCAATGGATTGTCCTGAATGATGGTGGAGGCGATGGGATTGGAGGAGAGACAGAGACAGACAGAGAGAGAGAGGGAGGGAGAGAGAGAGTGTTGGGTACTGGCTGGGTGGGGTCCTTAGATTGAAATCTTGGACATCTGATCCTCGAGTTTGGCAATTCTCTTCTCCTGACTGCCGATGAGGTCCCTGAGGGTTTTCACTTCTTTCAGGATCTCATCCAGCTTGGCCTCGCTTTGCTGGGGAGGAGAAGGTCCACGTTCGTTTACTTAGCGAAACAGGAGTGAGGCAGACCACACATAAGCATACAGCAGTCACAGAGCCAGCCTGGGTACACGTGCTGCGAGGCTGAGCCTTCAATGAGAAGCTTCAAACCCTGGTGAGATACTGATGAAGATAAAGATGGACTTCATTAAGCTCAAGGGGAAGTTTCACATACAGCAGCGAGGGCCATAAAGCACGAAACAAAGAAAGTAAAAAGTCGGCACAGTGATAAGTAGCCCTGGTCCCATCTGCGGTGTCGCTGTGCGGTTCGGAAGCTGCTCTGCCTCCTGCCGTAAGGCTCTGCAGTGAGTAGTGAAGACAGCCAGCAAGATCATCGGCACCTCCCTGCCCCCCATCCCGGACACCCCCCATACCCTCCTCACCTGCAGAGCCATCAGCATTGCTGGTGACTCCTCCTACCCCTTACACTCCCACTCTGCCTCCTGCCTTCAGGGAGACGGTACCGGACCCTCCGGGCTCCACAAGGCTCTTAAACAGCTTTATCCACCAGGCTGTCAGGATGCTGACCTCTGTCCTTTACCTCCCCACTCTGCCCCCCACCCCTCGACAGTAACATATTCACTGACTACCCCTTTTTCCTTTTTTTGCACTTTAGTCTCAAGGACTGTTTACATTTCATACCTTTCCGCTGCTAATTTGAATTTGACTTTTATGATTGCTACCATTTGCACAACTGCCTTATCTACTGTTACCATTTGCACAACTGCCTTATCACTGTTACCATTTACACAACTGCCTTTATACTGTTACCATTTACACAACTGCCTTTTTTTGTCGAAATGCCTCTTGCCTTGTCAGTTTGTCTTGTGTCTTGTTATCTGTCTTTTTACATAGAATGTCTATTTAAATTCAATCAATTTTTTGTAATCTAGATTAAACTTTCTAGTTCTGATTGGAGGGTAACACACACCAGTGAGCAAGAAACGCCATGTGAAATAAAGCTAACCTTAATAAAATTAACTTTATAGAAGCCTGTCTAGTTCAGCTGAGTGTTGACGGGACCGGGGTGAGGCGCCATATTACATATGGGGCGGGGGGCCCAGCCACACAAATGTAGGATTATTAGTAATCCAAGCGTGTGCCACAAAAACCTCATTTTACACAGCATCAGCTTCTGCACGCCGAGAGCAAGGGCGGGCCAACGGAAGGTTCCAGTCTGCTAGTGTGCTAGTTTCTGCTGCCACCCAAGATTCAGCGGTATAACTGAAATCATGATTAGGACAACAAATCTACAACAAATACACACTGTACCGCGAAGGTAGGTTTGGGTCGCACACACTGTACCGCGAAGGTAGGTTTGGGGCGCACACACTGTACCGCGAAGGTAGGTTTGGGGCGCACACACTGTACCGCGAAGGTAGGTTTGGGGCGCACTCACTGTACCGCGAAGGTAGGTTTGGGGCGCACTCACTGTACCGCGAAGGTAGGTTTGGGGCGCACTCACTGTACCGCGAAGGTAGGTTTGGGATGTACTCACTGTACAGTGAAGGCAGATATGGGGCGTACTCACTATAGATGGGGTGGAGGACGCCGGCTTGTGGGCAGGCGCCGTGTTCTCCGTCTTCTTGGCCGGCTTGTTCTCTAGAACATTCTTCTTGACCACCTTGAGATCACGGTTCTTGCCAGGGATGTAGCCATGCTTTAGGGAGATGAGGATCGGGTCCCCGTTCTTGCCCTCAAACCAATCCTCTGCCTCCAGGGCGCAGTCTGGTCCGGCCGTATCGGGGTACAAATCATCCTGGAACAGGTCCGACTATAGGAGAAAAGGGAGGCCGTCAACAAATAGGGAAACCTCAAATCCTGTGAGGAGATCCCTCTGCAAAACCTGGGCTTGGAGCCTACAGCCCTTCTGACATTCATGTATGGAGCTACAATAATACTCAATCACCGCAACATTTTTGTAAAAAAACACATTATATAGCATTAGTTTTGCTAAATTATATAGCATTTGCGGAATCAGAATGTCGAATGATGAACACTAGATGGCGGTGTTCTGCTCACCCCCCCCAGCCAGTACCCAACACTCTCCGTGTCTGTCGGGGTTGGGGGTAAGTATGTGCCTGAAGCCTTATGTCCTGCCATGCCACCTGGGGTTCCACACAAAATGTCTGCCCTAATGTCCCCCACAATATAATAAAAACCTGTTTTTTTGATGTTGTGGGGACCATTTTTAAGGACCCCAAAAAGATCTGTGAATGCAATCAAAAAAAGTAAAAAACGCTGAAAGTCCCGTGTTTTGTTTGGTTGCTTAGGGTTAAGGTTAGGGCTGGGTTGGGGTTAAGGTCGTCATGTTGGGATTAGAGGTTTCCCAGTAGAAACGAATGGAGAGTCCCCACAAAGGTATAATTACAAACCTGTCTGTCTGTCCCATCCACAGTGTAACCCAACTTGCCCTGCCTGGCAGAGGCCGAAGCCACCCCTCCCACACTGAAACATGCAGTTAGAGGAAGTGTGGATGTTTCCCATGGAGGTAACACACTGGCCGGCACAGATGGCTCCCAAAATTACGTAGTGGAAACATTTAAAGCGCCTTTTGGAGGAGCTCAGAGAGAGCAGTAGTAGGTTAGAGGAGCATAAATAACTCAGACATACCTTCCTGGGTACGGTCATTATGATGGGCTCACACTTCCTCTCGTGCAGTTTGTAAAACCTGTGAAAACAGAAGGCAAACAGGAATTAGCAATGTAGACATTATGAGGAGTATGGGGGGGGGGGGGGGGGCGGGCATGGGACACAAAGAGCAGCAGACAGGAGACCACAAACGCTTATGGCATACCTACTTCCCATTATGAATTTCAGTTCAATTTAAGATCAGCTTGTTGAGTTACATTGTTAGCTGCCCTCTGGTGGACAGAGTCAGCGACTGTAACCATTCACACAAAACCTTCAAACTAATAAAGTATTATTGCCCACACAGCCACCACCTTCTCGGCCTTAACGTTTCAGGTAAAGGGACCAGAGGATGCCTGATGACATTTTGTTTTTGGCGAACCAATCAGAATCCCTGAAGGCTGACCTGGCGATTTCACACTTGTTGACGTCAAGACCTCTCTTGGGCATAAATCCCATGCCCCGCTGGGGCTCCTTGGTGCTGAAGGTGTTGAGGTAGTGGACGAAGGGAGCTTCGTCCGTGATCTCGAAGTACCGGATGCTGCTGTCCCCCTAGAAACCCCCACCCCCAAAACCACACCATTAACCAGAATCAGGACCAACGGATCACACTCACTGGAACCTGGAGGAACAAGGCTTCGAAACCCACATGCGGTGGGATTCAGTACAGAACCTACTTCCTATTGGTCACTTTCACCACCACTACGGAACGGTAACAAGGCATCTTATCGGAGAGACCCGGGGGTGTCACAAGGGAGATCTGAAGGCCCTAACCCAAGCAATCCATCCACGGCTCCTACCTTCCCACACAGGTAGACCATGTTGGTGTCGGGGTCGTAGAAGGGAAGCAAGACACCATTGCTGGTGTCCATCTCGTGCACGGTGACGGGCTCGTCCATGTTTCGCTGCAAAATACGCAAAAACCACAAGACCGCGTCAGCTGCAGAGACTGTGGGCCACGTGAGGACACACTGATACGGTCAGGGAGCAGTGAACTTCCACCCTGGAGACCATTCATGTGGCACCTGTGGTTTTAGCAGAATCCAGGCCTGCGTTTAAATGTGTTAGTCCAGTGCAGAGACCAGCACACAGGCTCAGGATGTTGTATAGTGTGTGTGTGGTTTTACACTGCTGGGCTTAGGACAGCATTCAAACTGTTTGTCCTCGTGTGCCGATTAGAATTGGACCACCTACGGGGTTCCACAGCGCCAGCTGGCGTTCACTCATTCGGCTGAAGCCCGTGGTGAAGACTTGCCCGTCAGCCAGGAAGATGGCTCTCATGGGCCGGGCTCCTTCGTGTGCCTTGTCCTTCTCCTAAAATGGTGGGGGGGGGGGGGGGGTCAGCCTGCTTGCCTCACATTCGGCACCTTCTTTTAAGACAGCTGGTGTCCCCGAACCGAGGACCCGGACTCACCGCCACAATCTGCTCCTTGCGCGGGTCGATGACGCGAACCTTCTTGTCCTTGCAGGCCGTGCAGATGAGGCTGCCGTTGCGGTTCCAACAGACGCTGAAGATGACGTCGGGGTGCATGTCCTCCAGGTTAATCAGCGCCTCGCCCGTGCCGACGTTCCAGATGATGATCAGGTTATCGCAACCTGTTCACGGTGAGGGTGTGGGGGGGGGGGGTATCAGCATCTTAAAAGTATGTTCCGCTTTGTGTCGAAGCTACAGCACTTCCGGCACAAGTTTTAGGCGTCGCTAAGGGCGGGGGAGAGCTGAATCACTCACCCGCGCTGAGCAAAACATTCCGGGCTGTCGGGTGCCACGTCACAATGCCAACCCTCTTGGAATGCCCCTCCAACACCACCACTGGCTCGGACAGGGAACTGGCCAGGCCGTTTTCAGGGATCTGCCACACCTGAGTCGGCAAAAAAGGGAAAACTTGCGGTAAAACTTTTACATTCTGTAATTTAAGCCACATCACAGGGATTTCATATGAAAGCATCAAGACAGTGATGGAATTCAGCGGCCTGCACTTCTACACTTCAGCCTGCAGGTGGCAGCAGGGAGACAGCACACTAAGGCGACGCATCAACTGGAGTTGCGCGATGATGTCACTCATGTTCCGCACGCCAGCGTTTTTATTAATGGGCATAAATGAAGCCTGGCTCTGGGGACAGGAAGCTTGTTTTGCCCCTAATCCTGAAGGTGTGAAGGACTGGATACGGCGCAGAGCAGCCCAGAAGTGCAATAAAGTATGGTGAGAACAAACAAAATGGAGAAAGCTGGACAGCAGCACAGATGCCCAGTGAAGCGGCACATTCCCCACCACGCCCCCCCCCCCCCCCCCCCCCCCCCCCCCCCCCCCCCCCCCCCCTTACCATGACTGTGCAGTCCTCGGAGCCGCTGGCGATGACCTGGTCATTGTGCGGGCACCAGTCGATGTCCAGCACGGGCCCCGTGTGCCCGCACACCGTGGGGTAGGACTTGTCGATGCGACCAGTCTGCAAGCACAAAAAAAGAGGAAGGGGGGGGGGGGTTCAGATCAGGGCTGGACTTCTGCTCCTGTTTAGATGCACAATTCGGTTGGCAACAGATAAAACGGTTCCCAAATCAAGATCACACACAACCAAGGATGTAACTTTGGTTTGAACACTGGCGAGGTTGAGGTCTCAACTCATTTAGGGGGAGACATGATTATTGGTGAGGTCGTATTAGCCGGTTTTGATTGTTGGGCCGTAATTTACGGCCACGTAAACAATATAGATGCATCAAGATAATCATTTTACCTCAAACATCAAGTACTTTCTCAGGTATAGTAAATGCTGTGTAACAGATTATTAAACTGCATACAGCCATAAAAGGTGTCTGTGTAGGGGGGGGGGGGGGGGTGTGTAAATGAGCCAGCACATAAGGTGATGACATCAGCCACATGGGGGTCAGTTTGTGAACTAGGTGATGTCAAATAAACGGGGGCAACAATGAGACAGTTCCTCCCACGGTCAGCTGCCAGCTGCCCCCAAACCAGCCTCCTCCTCTGCCCCCAATTCAATCAATCACTGCTTTCAGAACATTTTCACATTCCCCCCCCCCCGTCCCTGCCTCATGACAACAGCACAAAGAACAAACATCTGTACCCATTTTTCCGAGCGAACGAGCGAGAGAGAGAGAGAAAAAAAATGAGTCACATCTGTCCCGTACACATCCCTGCAGCCTGCCCTGGGGGCGGGGCCTAAAAAGGATGTGCACACATGATACCAGCCCACTGCTGGGATGGGGCCCTTGAAGCAGGCTTGAGTGACATGGCAGTAAAGAGGAAGTGACAGTCTTTTTTTTTTTTTTTTTTTTTTTTTAAGTCACCCAGTATATAAAAATGTATAAAAATTTGCAAGGACGGGATAGCATGGCGAGAGGGAGACGGGCCGCGGCGTGCGACCCACAGTTATTCAGCGGCCATGAAACTGGACACTCCATAATAGGCGGCCAGCACCAGGCCTGAGATTCGATCAGACCCCTGGGTCCTGCTGCCCTGGGTGACGTGTGACCAGTAAGCTGCCCAATCCCAGCCCGCACGCTTCCACTACACTCCAGTGCATTGTTTCGGGAAGACAGACACGCTCAGTCCACGTCCAGCCTCCTCCAGGGTCTCTCCTGGGGAATGAAGTCACTGAAAACATCCTGATATATCAGCACCCCCCCCCCACCCTTTTCACTTTATTGTCCTGCATTTCAAAGGTCCCAGGACATGTGACATCTGTCTCACGCAGGAGCATCAAGGCACGTGCATGCACACAGACCGACAATCCCATAACCCTTTACCCTGAGGCATCACATGACAGCAGAAGAGCAGGACACATTCTTGGAACGTAGTGCTCAGTGTAAAACACACACGACCCCAGAGTTCGCTCTTTTCTGTACAGTGCTTCACCCTTGGAATTGTGGGAAAACTAACAGTTATTCAACACTGGCAGGGAGAGGGAGCCGGCAGGCAGCCTGCGCTGGGGGCAAGAGAATGTAGAACAGTTAAGGAGAAGGAGAAGAGCATTTATTTACCAACTAGGCTGAACGGTGTAATTCCGCGGTGGGTGACTGCCAACCAAACCCCAGAGAGACTGCTACCAAAGCATTTCTGGTAAATATTCAACCACACGGGTGGATAACAGGCAGAACAATTAAACCAGGCAGGTCAGGCGGTGTTTAGAAAGTGGGAGGGAAGCAAACTGTGTCGTTTGACCCGGCGGCATCTGAGGGAGCCAGCCGAAGCAGGTCAGGGAGACGTGCGTCCCAAATGAGGACTTTAAATAGCTCCTATCACCATCCTGCTGCGATGGCTGGCCCCGGAGAACGAGACATCTCGATCCGATCCGAACCAAGACGGGCTGAGCCAAGTACCAGGCCTACAGAGTTACATGGGACCGGCGTTTACTCAGCCTTCTATGATTTGGGGATAGTGCAGATTCTCCAGAGTGGGTCAGAACCACCCCCCTAATCACTTGAAAGGCTGCCTGAGAGATGGGGTTCTTCTTTGCACTCTACATAAAACCAGACAGCTCTATGTCAGTCACCTGGCTAAGCCCTGCAGCCCTAAAGACAACAGTGCTGGCGCCCCCTGCTGTCAGTCCTCCAGTCGACACAGGAGGGCCAGCTGAGTAGAAGGGAATCCGAGGGAGTAAACACCCCCCACCCCCAGTCCGCCACCTTCGGGCAACTGGACCTGAAGCTTCTCACAGAAGGCTAGTTTACAGCTCAGGCTAAGGCTTCAAAAGGATGAATGAAGACATATAGAAAAAGAGATTAAAAAAAAAAAAAGAATTTCTAAAAGTGCATATAAACATAAAAAAATATATCCCTGATAAATCTTTTCCACAGATTTATCAAAACAGTACATAACACAATAAATAATACAATATAATAATTGATAGTATTACTGCTCCAAATGAATACAGAGCCAAGAAGATAATTTTAGCAGGATTTAAGTATCCTAGTAATTAATGTGTGTGTGGGGGGGGGGGGATGTCTGTTACAGAGAAATACTTGACCCCAGCCACTGGATTCTCTTTTCGCCCCCCCCCCCCTCCTCCCCAATCCTCCAGTCATCCCAGAATGCACTGGGCACTAACCCCGCTCCCAGCCAATGGCCAGGCAGGGAGGAAGCAGCCCTGGAAGGCTGACAGGCTGAGAGCGCAGAAAGGCCATATATGGTCAAATGTGCTGTCAGCGGCGGCGGCGGCTCCTGGAATACAGATCAGGGGGAGCAGCGGCCGCTTGCAGACCCGCACGCTGCCCCCCCCCCCCACTGAGCGTGGCTGCACATTTCTATTCTAACTCTGCAGCTGGCACAATAGGAAGGGGGGTGGGGGTTGTCAACTTATACAAACAACTAACACACCCCCAAACACACATGGCTTCTCCAAACGTGGGAAAGGGTGACTTAGCACGCCCCTGCCAGACCAGCATCCCGGGGGCAGGGCGCCTAGCAACACCATCCTCATCAGCCCTCACCGGTGGGACAGGAAGCCAGGGATGGGAGGGGGGCACACGGTCAGATTAACAGAAAACCGCTAAACCGGGAAAATAAGGAGAAAGAGAGGAGATGATCTGGACTGGGGGAAGAGAGCACCGTCTGCAGCAGGGAGGAGGACACAGGAAACAGGATTTTCAGTTACTGATAAAGGATTCTGCCACCCCCCCCCCCCATCTGAAACCCCCACCCCAAACACATGCTCAAAGCAGACATGGGTGACACGGCAGAAAAGAAGAGGTGACAGTCTGTTTTCTTAATCACGCAGCATATAAGAATGCAAAAACAAACTGCGGCTATGTGGTCAGTCAGACACCTGATGTCTGCACTGTAAAGATGAAAAAAAAAGCCAAAAGACAGCTTTAGTGTCCACACAAAGGGGAAACAGCTTTCCGGGGGAGGGGGGAGAGGGAGGGGGATGGGCAGGAGGCAGAGGCGGGGAGGGAATATGAAGGTACTTTATTGATCTTTTGTGAGGAAATTGGTAAGTTTCAATAAAGAGAATCAACAGGGAGTCTAGGAACCAAGGCAGGTGCACAGGACAGTGGGTGTGTCAGCCTAACAGCAAGCTCTGCGAGAATCTGCCGTCAGCGTTACAGCGCTCCGGCACAAAGACCCCTGCAGCTCTTCCTGAAACCTCATTGGCTGGTTGAAATCCGACAGAACGACAGGGATATCCCTCCCACTGAAACAAAAGGGGACAAAGGCCAGCATTCGATTGACCAATCAGCAGTAATATTAGCATGTCCCAGAGCCCCATGGGATTTTGGCTCCTGGAGCTCCGGAGGAGCGGGGGGGGGGCGACAATGGGCCTGCTTGAGCGTGCTGTGGGACAAAGAGGGCCCCGGAGGGCCCCAGAGGGCCACGGGGCAGCAGGGCTGGCAGGCAGATGGGCCGGCGCGTGAACAAAGGCTCCCGGGAATCTCCCGAGGCTGGGGGGGGGGGGGGGGGGTGTGGCGAGCAGACACAGGAAGGGAGGATGGGGGCTGGAGGAGGAGGAGGCAATACAACCTTCAGCAGGTCTGCAACAATGCAGCAGGTCTGCAACAATGCAATATTGAAAGTGCCTGATCTGTTACAGTTACAGGAATGTTTATCAGTAAAGGAGCAGGACGAAAAGCAGGAAGGAATCTGCAGGAAGTGACACGCTGTTGTGTGTGTGTGTGGGGGGGGGGGCGTCATGCCATCAGGACGATGGCAGCCCGTGATTAACAACGCTTCTGACAACAGGGGTAGGCTCTGCTCATCCTAACAGCTCCTGCTCCACAAGGGCTCTGCTGTTGTACCCCTGAACGAAAATCTGAGACGCATGAGTGAAACGCAAACGGGTAAAACTAATCAAGAGTTTTGGATAAAAACAGCCAGCCGGGCAGCAGCATCAGCGAATATCAGCTTCCGTTCACAGCGCACTTTCCATGCGGCTGACGACTTGGGCCGCGTGTCACGGCGCAGATGCAGCTGCATCGAATTTCATGCGACGTGGGGCACTGAACGCTCTTACTGTTGCCACCACTCCGGGCTCCTTACCTCAATTAAGCCTTTATGCAGACAGACATTCTCACAGAAGCCATTATGTTTAGAGGCAGACGGTGGCCAAACCAAAGGCATTTCGCAAAGGTCAAAGGTCAGTGCTTAAAAAAGGCTTTGGCGAGAGGCTGTGCAGTAATTCCCCCAGAGTGGGCTGCCTAGCCTGCTGAAAGGAAAGACACTAAACAAAAGAATGCCGATGGGACAAGGGGCAATGACGCGCATGAGGCCATGGTGTCAGTGGCCGGACGCTCGACACACAAAGGCAAAAGAGAGTCAGGAAATGGGCTACCCACGAGCCAGTGCCCATTTGGTGGGCGGGGCGGTATGGCTATGAAAGTCACACACAGGTTCTTTAAAAAAAAAAAAAAAAAAAAAAAACACAAAAACAGAGTTCCTATTAAGGGTGGGTGCAGAAGGGTCCCTCTTTGGAATGTTCTAGAGTACAGCACAGAGGGGTGACTTCAACGAGGCATCGCTGGATCGTCACCATGGCTCTCGTCCGGAAATGACCTAAGCGGGTCCCCAGATCCAGATGTCCCTTGTAACCTCCCCAGGATTACAATCACAACTGGAATTCTGCACTGAGTACAAAGAGACACTAACATGCTCGACTAGAGCCACACCAAGTCACTCAACCTCCAGTAAGCATGTGAAATCACCAGCAGGTTCCTTCCAGAGTGACTCAAACCAGCACAAGCAGCATGCGTGTCACATTCATCTGCATTTCCTGTTTACGGACCTCATTCAAGGACACCAACGGCCATTATGGTTACCACAAGCAGCACACGGAGACCAGGCGTTCCCATCCAAAATCCTATCAGGCACAGTTCATCCTATGAATAACAGGCACTGGATTCATGAAACTTCAAACGAACATCTTGGGAAGTTCAGCCCGACTCTCCTGTCCTGAAAATAGATTCTTACATGAGGAGGCCCAGACTTCACATTCCTAACACATGAGCAAGGATGGTTTACTCGTAGGGCACCCAAACTATGGCCAAATTTGGATGACGGCACCTCCGGCCTTGTTCCTGGAAAGCCGAAACGGACTCAAAATATTAACGGTGCTCAGGATTTGACATTTTTCCTAGACGTTCTCCGTAGATCCGGGCTTGCACCCACTAGATTTTTGATAAGCTGTCTTCTAAGAAAAGATAACAGGAAAACAGCACATTATAATTTTAATCCACCCCCCCCCCCGTTTCCATGGTGACAAACAAAGGCAATGAAAATTTATCAGAGAGAGATAGTCATCACAGTCCTTTCCTCAAATTTCCTTCAACTCAAAATACTCGGGAAGCCAAAGATAAAAACTATCCAAACCAAGCAGGTCTTAAAGATTCCAGCCCCCCTGAGGAAAAACCAGTGATTAATCAGATGAACTTTGCTGCTGGAGCAAATGTCTGGCTTTGCCCCCTCCCCACCATGGCCTCCCACCCCGTAGCTAAGACCGCCCACTCGACTTGTTGGGTAATGCCCAACACTCACCTTGTGCAGTGGGAGGACTAGGAAGGCGCCGCCCCCGCTGGCCTCGATGATGATGGCCACAAACTTTGGGTTGACGGCGCAGAAGGAGCTGTCCCAGGTGACGCGTGACACGCGGATGTCGTCGTAGCACTGGTCGTTCTTTACCGCCTGGCCGAAGACGTGGCGGAACTTGCTCTGCCGGACGACTCGCCTGAACATGTCTGCGTAGGAAGAGGAGACGACGACAGTTAGGGGCAATAAGCTACGAGGTGTGAGTAGGTGCACGGCGCGAAACCGCCAGACATTTTCGCTGACGGTTATTAGGCAAGTTATCACAGCCCTTTAAAGAACAAACACCCATCACTGGTTCAGCATCCACTCTCAACATTCCTGGGATACATACAGAAAGTCAGCTGCAGGTTACCTAGGGACCAATGCCTGGGTGGTACAATAATGTTATTTGCATGGGGGAGGGTGGTCAGTCAGGTCAAAGCAGCAGCTCAGTTATTTACTGGACAATCCCAAGGTCCACCCTAGGACAGGCCAGGAGCAATCAGCAGGGATAGACAGCCCCATGCGACCTTGAGGTCAGGCTCCCTCATCAGCCACAAACGAAGCCTCAAAACACTGCGAGCTGCTGGCCGTGAGTCCTGGCTTTCCAGGAGCTTGGGAATCCCTGCCGCAAAAGAGGGGCGATTCCAGCGTGGGTCAGATCAGAAGAGGCGTGCAGCTAGACCAAGCAGTCTGCAGCTCCCAGGGGGAGGAAACTACCAGACGGCCACATGCCGGAAAGACCTCAGACTGCACATTCCCAAAGTTTCAAAGTGGAGATTGTCCTTAATTATCCTCAAAGTCATGATGGGACAGGCTTTTGCAATACAGGAGTAAAATGGTAGAATGTAAAACTCACAGACTGTTAGTTTTACATTGAGAGAAAAAAAAACAGCTATTTTTCACATCCAGATCTGCCGCCCAAGTAATGACTCTGAAACTGACGGGAATACCGATATTCAGAGAAAGCAAACAAGAGGAGAGCCGCGGCTAGGAAGTCAGAATTAGCAGCATTTCTTTGAAGACTCCGAAAGTCCTCCATTCTCAGCAGGTCTGCTTTAGACAGCCCAGAGCACGTCTGCTTTGGCGCTCCCCATCACATACGCTCATTGTTAGCCACATAGCTCACAGGAGTAGCACAGACAGAGAGACACAGACAGAGAGACACAGACAGAGAGACACAGACAGAGAGACACAGACAGAGAGACACAGACAGAGAGACACAGACAGAGAGACACAGACAGAGAGACACAGACAGAGAGACACAGACAGAGAGACACAGACAGAGAGACTTTAAAAAATCTATTTACACAAGGCAGTAAAACAAAAGAGAGAGAGCGAGTGAGAATAAAATGCCCAGGCTTCACAGCGTCCTGGCCTTTGGGCACCACCCAAAAGCCACAGGCTTCAGCCATGTCAATGCCAGTACTTTTGACAAAACAAGATGAACATGCCACCATCCACAGCACACACTCATCTTACAGCCAATGGGAAAAAAGAAACTTCTGGGAGAGCCCTGGATCACCCAATCACAAAATACAGGTATCCTCTCAACAGCATCGATTTTAACCAATGAATGGGAGACATAACTGAAAATTACTCCCTCCCAAGAAGAACCAAACTAAAAAATCTTTCAGTCATATTACAGGTTATCGCATTACCCCTAACAAACTCCTGATACATCAGCCATCTGAAGGACCTATCAGATCCATCAGGAACGCAAAGCTCCTTGTTCTCTAGCTCCGCCCTGTCAGAAGCCAGCCCCCCCCCTTAGGAGGGTCACGAGGTCAGTCGGGAGAGGGAGCTGATCCACAGAGCCCGGCTCTTTAACCATAAGGCGATGTGAGAATGGCCAAGCCCCCTCACCATGTCATTAACAAAAGTGGCTTTTGCAGCACATCCACTTTCTGAAAAAACTGGGGCTCTCAGGGTACAGAGTTCCTGCTTCAGACAGACCAGGTGTCCCACTTATCTAAAGGAAAAGTTTCACACAGGCCAAATCTTTTTGGCATGATCTGCCATGGTAATCACATCCCCACAGTGTAAACAGCAATAATGTAATAAATTACAAACAATAGATAGACAGCTAATGAAGAGAAGCTATGGCAGAACATTCTGTTCTTTCACATCATTCTGGCCTGGGTGCAGTGTAAACGTAGTCAGATTCTTTAGCAATTTAGTGAAATTTAAAACAACGTTACTAATCTTCAGTTCTAACGCTTTGACCTTTCAGTGAATTAAAAAAAAATCTCTCATGTTTGCATTTCATGTAATTCACAAAAACAGGACCCCGGTTCATTCTACCGCGTGCTGCCGCTACGCTGCCTGTGCTCTCGCAGTCCATGACTCATCTACACATGCGGACTGAGAGTCCCGCTCCCTCCCCAGAGGAGGAAAAAAAAAAAAAAAAAAAACCAGCAGCTCAGCATCTGCAGCCTGCCGTGCAGAATGGGCATGGGCTCACATGGAGGGAAAGGCCTTCAATTCTGAGAGCAGGCTGTCAGTCTCTCAGCACTGTGCCCAGTGCTCACCAGCATCATGCACACCTGCGCCAAGGACTAGAATCCGGTCTGCATTTAAGCTACATGCTGAATTTCAATTTGCTGCAATCAATCCATCCACCAGTCACTTATCCACTATTCCAGGTTCCATTTAACCCTAATTATAAACAGGCAAGAACCCAGCAGACTTGGCCTGGCTGCAATCCTCTCCATCCAGGTACTTCTTGTGGATGGTCCACCTTAACAGGGCACATTGAGTCAGAACCGAGAGCTACCAAGCTTCCTTACTGAACAATATGTCATCCAACCACTAATCTTCATCATTACCTTGTTAATCTCCTTGGCACACGCCCTTGACTAACAAACCAAGTGCTCGTGTTTGACCTCTTACTCAACAGCGCAGGAGCTTCCGGACTTGCGACTCGTGCCAGGGGAGTACGACGGCATCGACGTGAGCGGAGGCACGCAAGGCACCGCGGGGCCCAGTGCACGGATCCCCTCCTAAAATAGGCCAGCCGAACCTCTTTGGACGAGTAGATGTGACACATTTACACAGGTACCGCACCCTTAGGGCATCGTCACTACATCTCAATTACGAAAATAAATTCAGATTCACCGCATCCAGCTAACCGGCCATCACTGTCCTCAACACGCATCCGCCGACCATCTGCGAAACAGGAGACGGCAAGAAACATGGCCAGCCACACCGATCCAGCGATCGCCCCGTCCCAGAAGCACAGAGTACTCGGCCGTAACCAGGCATAGAAAGGCGGATTAAGGTCAGAGCCAAAAGACAAGACCGTTAATGTACTTCTCAGTCTGCAAAACCCAAGACGTGGCACCTTGAGTCAATGGCGGCCGGGACTTTAAGAGTAAAACTCCCGATAAAAAAATGCATGGCTACTGCTCCAATACCATTTTCAGAGGGCACTTTGTGACAGGTGTTGCAGAGGAGGTGAAGAAATCGTCCAAGACGTCATTACGTGGAAACACAGAGCTGTACGTTACACGAACAGGCAGCGCGCAGATCCAGGGACTATTGTGGGTAATCCAGTCAATATGCAGATCTGACCCTTCAGATTCCAGACGCCGGGCAGCCAACCCCATGAGGCCCATCCTCACGCGCGCAGGTCTGCGCCGGCTTCCAGATCGCAGACACCGCCGGCCTAGAGCCGCGTTTACCAACAGCGCTGTGTTGCTAAGCAACCACACTCGCGGGGGGAGGAGCCAAGCCGAACACGAAGGAACACTAAAAAAAAAAAAAAAAAAAAACTGCAGCAGTTTTGCCCTTTATGTCTAAAATGAAAAAATGAGAATGATGACAGGACTGTTTCAGGCAGGATGAGCGCAGGGCACAACTGCCCCATCTCTAACCATCTGTCAATGGTGGGCTTTCAAAGACGCCACTGTATGAATGGCTAGCAGCTTCTGCAAGTATTTCCGTCAAACATTTAGACACAGAAGTAAAATAAAAATGGTGATGAAACTGAACTTCGAGCAGAAACAGCTGTTGGGGGGGATTTTAAACACAGCTGGGGATTTGAGACGGACAGAAGGTCGAAAACAAAAAGACGACCAGGCGAATTTTAATATTTAGTCAGATTAATTCTGTATCATGAAGTACGGAGACCAAGTGGAGGGATTTCATGCTCGAATGACACTAGCTGGATACAGAAGTCTTATTTATACAATTCCATATCAACGGCGAGGTGCTGGAATTTGAGGTAAATGTCAATACAGTTATTCCTTCTCTGTGGAGTCATCAGCTACACAAAGATGGCATTTTTGCGCAGATTCACGGTGCATTTTCCTACAGGATGGCGGGGTGGGTGAGCAGCCACCTGCGGACCATTCTGGAAGGTGAAGGTTTCTCAGCGTAGGGCAAGAGGCTGAGCAGAGGGCGCGGGGACACGTCCGTGACAGGGAGAGAACCACGACACTCCCCCCCCGCCATTTCACGCAAACCGGACAAACTTCCTGCAAAAACCATTCTTTCAGAGGACGATTAGGGGAAAGGCATGATGAGCAAGGGCTCAAACACCGACACTGCATGGCGCTCTAAGCTGGGGGGCGTCGTGTTCCGCAATTGTGCCAGTTGTCCTTATTCAGAACCCGGAACACCCGAGTTTGAAAAAGGGGTGCATTGTAGTTGAGAAAACAGCTATTGTCATATTGCATTTGAGCTCTTAGTGCCCTTTTATCTTCAGACCTACATGAAGAGGGAATTTCCCAACAGCCTGGAACCCAGAATCACCACCAGTGGCTGGCGACCGCAATCGATGTCACCCTGGAAGCCCATTGGTCAGACAGAGAGGTCACCTGATCTCATAAGGAGATTACTGCCATTACAGTCCCAGACACGGCGTCGCGGCAAACGGCACAATGAAATCTGAGATGACGGACATGCTCTTGGGGGTGGGGCTGCCTCCACCTCCCCACAAAAGAAATGCAAATCTCAGGGGAGTAAAACTGAGGAAGCCCAGCAGTTGCTGAAGTCCCACCATTTTCCCCAACCCACCTGGAGAGGGACAGGAACACTGGAATCACCACAAACTGAATGGGATGATTCCAGAACGTTCATGGGGGGTTTTTCTTACACAAAAACGTTCTAAACGGCAGAAGGAAAATAATTGGCTCTCTCTCTGAACCAGTCAAAGTGGTGGGTCAAA